TTGATTATAAAAGTTTTTAATCAATCTTAGTGATATTTATTTTAAATTTTATTCACTTTTAACAATGTTTAGAAGATGAGATTGAATTATTAGTGGATTAAAAAAAAAACTAGTTTTAACATTTAAGAATTACTTGTACTATACTTGAAACTTGAATTCATCTTTTATTATTCTTAGTGCCTTTGATGATGTAACTAAGAAAATTTCTAGATCTTTTCAATTTTTACAATTATAAAAGAGTATAAGATCTTATTTATAGTTTGTGCTCTTTTTAATTATATTACTACTGATTTTGATGCTAATATATTTTATAGTTACGTTTCTTATTTAATGTTAAAATTTGTTACATTATCTCATATATTTAATAATATTAAAAACCGATTAATTTTACCAAACCACATTGATCCGATTTAAGTTAGATTGGTTTAGTTATTATATAATAGTGAATTGGATTGGTTTAAAAAATGTTAAAATCCAAACCAAACGACACTACAAATACCCCCTAACCTTGGTTATTCTAGATTATTGGACAAGGATATTTAGATGATTTAGTTGATATTGGATTTTATACATAATTTGACCTTATTGGTTGTTTGAATTTAAAGCGTAGGTTATGGTAGAATTTTATTTTTTTTTATTAATAGATTTTAGTGGTCTTTTATAAGTTATGGATTTTGCATAATGTAATAAACATGTTTTGAGCCTTATAAACACGTGGAACCCACTCACAAGTGCACGGTGGTGTGACAGATTTATATGACACTTCTAGGCAAATCCCACATTGGTAAAGTATGTGAGAGATGTTAGACATATAGGTCAACACCTATTAACTCGTATTGATGCATTTTAAAATTGTAAAGCTCAATAGATCAAGGTGGACAATATCAATAACTGGTTAGGCCATTATATATGGTATCAAAATCACTTCATGTGACTTCAATTTCAATGAAGACCTTCAGTCCCAAAAGGGAGTATGTGTGATACCCCTAAATAAATCTTACATCAACAAAGTACAAGAGAGATATTAGGTATATAAGTTAATAACTGTTAATCTCAATTCATGTATTTTAAAACCATAAGATCAGATGGGTCAAAATAAACAATATCAATAGTGGACCGAGTAGTTACAAGCCTGTTGGAGCTCCATGTTCTTGTCGCATGGGAGCCTGTTAAGCCTTAGTTGGTGTTGGACTACTATCTTAACACCAATTTAGGAAGTAGGGAGAATGGATTGATTACGATGACACACTTAAAAAGATTACGCATAATTATATAGGATCGGGGTATTATGAAATTCAAGTTGCAAACATAAATCATCAATTACTATTATCAAAATAAATAAATAAATAAATCATCAATAATAACCACATATTTTTTTTTTTGGTACTATCTTTCTATTATTTGAAAACTATATTAGATCCTGATTAATTCAAAATTAAGCTGAAGTAAACCTTGTAAAGGGGAAGTGCTTCCAACACTTATTTCTCCATTCATAATACTCAAATTCGAAATTTTATTTAACAAAAATCAAATTCATACCACTGAAAGTAATAAATTGTCGGTATAACCATATATTCTTTAAATCAAGAACAATTTCAAGAACCTAAGAGTCGTCTTTTTTTTTAGACCAATTTGTGGGTAAGATTAAAGCGAAGAGAGGTCACACAAGGCCCAAGATAGACATTTATATGCATATAATAACATTATTTTATAAATTAAATCTACTCCTGTACTAAATACCTTTTTTTTGAATTATAGTAATGCATGGAGTATTAGGTGGAGCAGCCTTATTTTTGTTTGCACTTTGCTCTATATGTATTGAAACATCTTTATCCTTAGGGCCT